TTCGCAAAGAGAAGTTACACATTGCGAGGTATTCCAAAAGCTACCTTACGAAAAAAAAGAAACATGAAATTGTTCGAGAATACAGGCTTTGCTTTAAATAATTAAAGATCCATGGTCGAAGATGCTTCTCAACATAGCTGTGCGAGATCGGGGGATGCAAATCAAGACACCATCCTCTGCTGCACAAAGGTCGTGCAAATCCTAACATCGTCTCATCGAGAAAATTATTTTCGTATCGTACCGATACGAAAATATACACTTCCAAAACTTGTATTCACACATTTTCATTTCTAGATGAAGGTTTTCTCGCTCACACTCTTAGACGAAAATTTCTTCAAAAGGTTAAAAACATCCAAAGTAGTCCGGATCCGATCTGCATGCAGTGGACGAATCAAACAATACGGAGAAAGAACGAATCCATTTGCTGCAACATAAAAGTCTTCACCATGGACAACAATAGGACCTACTGGCTTATCAACATACACACAGTCAAGAACTTGGTATTACCAAGGCAAACGCTGGACATGTAGGAGTTAACCAGTAAATACACTCCTAAAACAAGAAAGGAAAGCTAACTTCGGGCGGAGCCGAAGTTTATATACCCTTGCAGTTAAAACCGGATATATATCGCAAACATTGGATATAGTTGGCCGATCCTTATGAAAATATGATAATATAACCCAATTTAATATAATACAAAAACCAAACCTAAAAATATCCCAAACTTCTATCTTCAAAAACACAAAAGTTTGGTAATTTCCGATCGTTCAGTTATATGGCAGCTATAGGATATAGTGGGCCGATCCTTATGAAATTTAGTAGGTTGGATCAACTGACCAAAAATAGAATCTGTACTAAATTCCACCTTTCTATCTTCAAAAACGCGAAAGTTGGGTCATTTCCGATCGTTCAGTTATATGCCAGCTATAGGATATAGTCGGCCGATCCTTATGATATTTGGCATGTCGTAATGTTTTGCCAAAAATAGCTCTCATGTGAAATTTAAACTCTCTAACTCTGAAAACACCAAAGTTATACCATTTCCGATCAATCAGTTATATGGCAGCTATAGGATATAGTCGGCCGATCCGGGCCGTTCCGACTTATATACTGCGTGCAAAGGAAAGAAGGGTGTGTGCAAAATTTCAAGACGATAGCTTTAAAACTGAGAGACTAGTTCGCGTAGAAACAGACAGACAGACGGACAGACAGACGGACAGACGGACAGACGGACAGACGGACAGACGGACATGCTCATATCAACTCAGGAGGTGATCCTGATCAAGAATATATATACTTTATAGGGTCGGAGATGTCTCCTTCACTGCGTTGCACACTTTTGACCAAAATTATAATACCCTCTGCAAGGGTATAAAAATACCGATTATATTATTCACTGATGCCGAACCAATACTGCTGATTGGAACAGACAATTGGAAGCTAGCCGTTCCACGAAAAATAGGAGAAGGAAGGTGGACAGACCCCATCGCATCCAAGTGCATGGCAGGCCGGGGAGTACAAGGATCCGAAAAGGGAAAAAACACTTTTCTATGCACTACTGGCAATGCAACTGGGCAGAAATTGACCTTAAGATACGCCCTTAAGATAAGCTTCAACGCAGAATCCGTTATTCCAAGAAAACTTCGATCTAACGATAATGAAAAAGCTTTCAAAATCATGCAAAAAACGTGCGTAAAAATCGACAGACGATACGAAATTTGCCTGAGAGCTACACAAACGCGCTTAAGCGACTCATTTGCCTGAAAGCTAAATTGAAAGAGAGCCATATCTACGTGAAAAAATTCATGACCAAATTGATAATCTACTAAATAAAGGCTACGCCGTCGAGCTGAAGGAAAATGCGGATGTTTACCATAACCATATTTGGTACCTTGCAATTTTCATAGCTCACAACCCGAACAAACCAAACAAGATTCGATTGGCTTAGGATGCCGCAACTAAATCTCATGGCGCTTCCTTAAACTTCATGCTTACTGGTCCGGATCTTCACTGTCACTGATATCCACTGTCACTGTCTGACCTTTTGATGGCATTCAGAGACTGCGGAGATTTAGCAGGGATGTTCCACCTAATAAGAATAAAAAAAAAAGGGAGATCCATGCACAGCGCCTCTTGTATAGCTCATTACGTCCGGGATAAAAACGCGGAGGACTACAAGATTTGGTATCCGAGAGCCTAAGCAGCCATCACCCTCTATTATTTAGACAGTCCGAACGACGAGGAGGCTTATCAAAGTGTCAAAGGCGGTCAAAGAAATACATTCAGCTGGCGGCTTCCACATCAGAAAATGGACTTCCTACTCACTCGAAGTCCCAAACGCATTAAAAGGAGAGTCAGCCACAATACAGCCTACAAAGGATTTAGGATCCAATAAGTGATACATTTTAATATTTTTCAGACTCTCAAACCTAAAAAGAAATGTTCTCAGTGACACTCAAAGAGAAATGCACGCCCCACTAAAAGAAGAGCTCTACAGGTTCTGATGTCATTTAATGATGTTTTTGTCCTGTCACACCATCGGACCTAAAATCCTTCTGCAATAAACATGGCGCTCGGGGATCGGACGGGATGACGAATTACCAGGACCTTCACAGATTTGTTGGACCAAATGGCTGACGATTCTCATCCAGTCGTAGTCTCTTCCTTGAAACCGCTTTTAATACCACGAATGGAACTTGGCGAATGCACCTTTTGGGCAGACTCCATGGTTAGATCCGTCTTGTCACAATCGATCCTCGAAAGTTTTGCGCTTCTGTAATGCATCAAATCGGCGAGATTATGGAAACATCGAGCGCCTCATAGTGGCGCTGCATTCCTACCGTTGAGAACGTCGCGGATGTCCCTTCGAAAATAATTGCCGAACCTAACTTGAAGTAGTGGACCACCGGACTGTCGTTCCTGAAAAAACCCAAAGCCCAGTGGCCAAATTATCAACCAACACCACCTCTGGAAACGATAATAACGAATATCGAATCGTTCTCTAACTCGAACAACAGAACCAATTTCAAAGCGTATGTAAAAGTAGTCAGGTAGGAGTTGAAGAATTTAGACTTCCACAACATATCAGTTAAGTACGACGAGATTAAATAAAAATATGAAGAGCTTGGAAACTTTTAAAATGGTCTATAAAAATTGTACTAAAAAAAATTTCTCCTCATTGTAAGCGTCTACACTACAACTAAAACTAAATATTTTAGCGCCACCACGAGCCGACGGATGGTAGCAGTACTCAAGAACACCGGTATTTAGTTGAACAGATATAGAACCAAAATATTATCTCGAATCGTCACAGTCTCAGTAGAAGACCACAAAAACGGGAACAAGACTTTTTATAAGCTCGACAATTTTTATTAAATAAATATTAAAACATCATAAAAAACGTGCTATAGACACTTGTTTTTTTACACTATACATCCTGGGCTGCAAAAATAATTATGAATAGTAATTTTTACAAATAACACGAAACGGATCGTGTTCGGCAAAATTTGATCTACAAAGTGGTATCCAAAGGTAGGAACTGAAAATCCACCTATACAAAAAGGATATGAAGTAGCATAAGACCAGCACAAGCCCGGCACTCTTACAATGGAGATAGGTAGAATAGTTTTGGTCAGCACCGATACGCCGGAAGGCACTACAGAAACTGCGTTTGGATAGATTCAATACTCTTTTGATGATCAGAGTATTGCAGACTCCAAAATCATAAACAGCATTCCAAGATAGGACGAACCAAAGAGACATATAGAGTCTTAGTTGTGAAAGGATCATGAAATTCTTTTGACCAACGTTTGATAACAGCTAGCACATCGCTAGCTTTATTAACTGTCAATGATATATGTTAATTGAACGTAAGCTTATGGTCAAAAAGGACTCCAAGATTGTTCATTAAGGAAACAAGATCTAGGACGTTATTTCCAAGTGAGAATACGAAGTGAACGATTGAACGTTAGAGGAGATAGTTTAAACACCACAAAAAGACTTCGTTGAGGTCCAATTGAAAGTGTCTATGAAGAAAATGGTCTGAGAATGACAAAAACTTTTCTTGACATCATCGGCATAAGTAAATGGTGTACCATAGTTTACGACACTAGATCGTTAACAAAAAGAACAAACAAGAGGTCCTAAGTGACTACCTTGTGAGACACCAGATGTAACGTTTATAATCTGTGGTGCAGAGTTGTTTAAAACAAAAGGCACTGCTTGCGGTTCGATAAATAGAAAGACATCCACTCTACGATTTTTTGAAAAAAAAACCCTGTCACATATTATGTAAAAGAAGGCGATGATTCACTAAATCACCACATCCGTTATCTCAAAAAACACCTGTGGATGGGTGTCATCGAGGTGAATTCGAGAAGCTTTGTTGTAGTAGAGCTTGACAAAATCATGCTTTTGCAAAAATGTTTAAGTTGCAAAAAACAAGAAGACGTCATCACTGACCCCATAAGGTATACATATTCTTGACCAGGATCACTTCCTGAGTCGATTCTACGCAAACTAGTCTCTCAGTTCTAAATAACGATCTTATGTCTGATGTAATTATATTTTATATCTGGTTAATCTGGTGACGCTCAGTATATATGTATCACACCATATACACACCCGCAAATATTATTTTAATAATAATATCTTGTATTAAAATATGTCGCATACATTTTTAAAAAAGTCCCAGTGGTGGGAATAAGTGGTGTTTAATGAAAGCAAAAAAAATAATTAGGATTTTGAAAATTATTCATACATGTAATTGTTAGATCATTGAGGGTTTTTTAATTAATTTTACATGTAAATGTGATTGTGTGGGCAGCGCAATTTTCTTCGTGAATTTAATTTAATCCTCTGTAGATTCCTATTTTTAAAGATGCCCATGACACAACACAACAGACTTTTATACCCTTTTACTCTACGAGTACCGGGTATAAAAAGGTAATGTATTAAATTATCGAGGACTAGGTATAAATATCCTTATTTGCATGACTTACCACTCAATCTTTCATAAGTCATAAGATTTGCTTCCCCTCCTTTCGGTTGGCACTATTAATTCTTAAAGTTTTGAAGCAGTGTTTGAATTGCAAAGTCAATTGGAAAATGACTTACAAAACATATACATAAAATCAAAAATCAACAGTAGCTATGAACAAAGGCTATTCCTATTTCTATATACAAAAACAACGCTTTGGGCGCTAGCTCAAAGTTGTAGATTCCAGTGATAAAACTCTGTAATAGATAAAAAATAAAAAAAAATTATCAGTGCTTGTTTTAAAATATTTTTTGATATGAACCAATTCAATACACATATTTATTTGTTTATATTTTTTATATAAATTTACGGGGGTTGAAAATTTCTATGCCTGCTCGTCGACACTGTTAACACTGTAAATCGACTGTAAATGTTAGTGATTTACAAGCGAATTTTACGTATTTGAACACAAAGGCAAGTCTAACATGTGAATTTGTATGGGCACCACCGATTTTTAGAAATAACCTTTTTATAAAGTTTAAAAATAAATAAATATTTAAATACAATATATAGTCAAAGGTTGATTATTCAACATTTTGGGTCCCCAGAACCAATGCCCCAAAAAAACAGATTCAGATAATTTTACTCTACCTCATATTCAACGGTACACCTTAGAGGAACCTTTTCCTTATTGAGGCCGAAAATCGAAAAATATTTAAACATTTATAGTGGAAAAGTAAAATGGCATACGAGCTTAAGTTTTTGATCATTTATTAGTATTTTATTAATGATTATAAAAAAAATTGAATTAATTATTTATAATACACGTAAGGAAAGATGGGGATTGGGAAAAGTCTATCTTCAAAAAAATTTAAGGTTTGGCGTTTCGGATGAATCAGTTTTATGGTAGCTATAGTAAACAGTCGATCAATCCCGACTTATGTATATACTGCGTGAAAATAACCAAATAACCATAGCTTTACCAAATACCATATACCATTTCCAATCATTCAGTTATATGGCCGCTATCAGATATAGTCGGCTGATCCTAAGGAAATTTTGTAGGTCGTACTTTTTTGACAAAAATAGCATTTTTCAACCTGGCATTTTTTTAGTCAAATGCAGGACAATTTTAAGCTAGCTGTTGGCAGGAAATTTGGTAATTTTTAAAATTAAACTAGCCACCTATAGTATTATTTAATATTTGGGCAGCATTCGGGAGGTAATCACCGATTTAAAGAGTTAGCTTCGTTTGTGATTAAATTACTTGGTCATACGCGGAAGTCGAACGAGTTTTTAGCCAGATGAACATTGTAAAATCTAAGCTGAGGAACTCAATAAACATTAAAACACTTAATTCGGTCTTACACAAAAGGTAATTATCATTTTTAGAACAATAATAAAAACTTTAACTTTGGTCATTGATAATTTTCAATGCCAGTAAAATAAAAAGCAACTTGTATTAAATTAAACGTTATAAAATCTTTTTTTGGCCGCATATGAAATTGGGATCTACATATATATATATATATAAGTGAAATCCAATTTAGGGAGCGAGCGCAATAAGACAACAAACGAAATTGAAATTTATAATAGGCTGAGCGGATGCTCTCTAGCTTTAGATGCCGAATTAGTTAAAGACGAGTGACCGAAAGGAAGTCGGCTTGCGACCAACAATGCTTAAGTTATTAATTATTTAAACAATTTGCTTGCTGCTTGACCCTACAAACTTCTTATTACTCATTAATTAATGGATATTCACAGTTATGGATTGCGACGGGCAACTAAATGTTGCCACAATTTCGAAGTGCCTCAAAAGTTCCTGAACAAGATTGGTACAAACGACTCGTACACTGCTGAGGGAAATATCGACTTCAATGAGCTCGATAATTGTCTATCAATGTTCAGTATCAACAATGTATTCAAAAATATTCATTAAAACTACATCAAAACTAAAATGGCTTTTTTCTGGTTTTCTTTAAATTCGATCTAGCCGTTTCTAGCAGGTTTGGAAGGTTACTTCAGCATTTTATTGTCCGGAAAAGTTGGCAGCACTGCTGACAGTGTAGGAGCTCTCTCATTACTCTCATTTGACAGCCCAAACTTAGAATCAAAACGTTTCCACTGAGAAAAATTTTCTCAGAAATTGGTTTGGAAAATGTAGATAGGGAAGCGTGAAATTGAAAATATAGATAGGGAAGCGTAGTTTTTCATTTGTTTGAAAACTGTTGCTAGCAAAGCTTTTAGCTCTTTAAAATAGAATACACTATTTTAGTACCCATTCCAACATTGGAATTAACGAAAAATGAAATAAAAAATTAAAATAAAAAACGGAAATTTATTGGATTTCCGATCAATCAGTTATGTGGCAACTATAGGATATAGTCAGCCGATGCCGTTCCGACTTATATGCTGCGTGCAAAGGAATGAAGGGTGCGTGAAGTCCTTCACTGCGTTGCACACTTTTGGACAAAAGCATCCCCAGACTATGCTCCTTGCCTGACCGTTCGCCGTAAGCAATAATTTTAGAAGCGTTTGTCGCATTTGGGGCGCACGTAGCTCATAGTATTGTAAGGAAAAAGGTTTATTTTGGTGTCGTTAGAAAAAATTACATTCCACCAATCATGTATAGTCCAAGATTCGTGCATTTTGGCCCACCTTAGCCTTTTCTGGAGCATTTTTACGGTCAAGACTGGATTTTTCGCCGCTCCCCGGACATGAAATCCAGCCCCCTCAATGTTCCTTCGAACGGTTGGAGTGCTTATTTCGACTTCTTGGCCTTCTTACGTGTTTCGCAGATTCGAAACGATCAGACATCATAAATCGTGAAAGGATTCGGTCCTCGCAGCCTACTTCTTTCCTGAGCCTGGCTAATGCTTCAGATTTCTGGTTTACTCAAAATGATGTAAGGAATTCTCAAAAGAAGACTTACTAAACCAATGGTGGGCAAACTCTCATTTTACATAGCACTCGAGTATAGGGTAGGAAATTCTGCCGCAGCGCTGCCGGCACACTGACAGAGTGAGCACTCTGAATTTTTTTTAGAAGCTCTCTCAATTGCTCTCATTTCGACTTATTTGACAGCTCAAACTTAAAAAACAAAATGTTTCCACTGAGAAAAATTTTGTCAGAAATTGGGTTGGAAAAAGTTTTCTTCATGGAGAATATAGATAGGGAAGCGTAGTTTTTCATTTGTTTAAGAAATACTGCTAGCAAAGCTTTTAAAATAAAATACTCAATTTTAGTGCCCATTCCAACTTTTGAATTAACGAAAAATGAAATAAAAAAATACGTTTTTTTCGCTCAGTGAATTCTCTGCTCTCATTGTTTTTCTCTGCTACGCACACACTCAAATTTTAAACATGTTTTAGTTTTGCCCCCCACTGTACTAAACCCAACGTTAGCGCTTATTCCTCGGAAGCTTAAATTTTCTGATTGTAAGGCCAATAGGGCCTCTTGGACAGCTTCAGTCATTTTCGACATGTTTAAACAAAAAAAAATTTTTTAACACAAGAAGCTTAATAATTTATGAAATTCTTTCAGATCATGAAAGCTAAAGACCTTCCGGATATAATGAAAAAATTTCAACTTGATATAATAAAACGCGCTCCTACCACACCAATGCGAAGTTCACATTTAGTGTAAGTACTTAGGTGTCCGGATTTCATTGACCGCTACTGTATATGTAGTCGTGTGAATGAATGTATGTAACATAGAGAAGGAATCATCTCCAATCCCATAAACTATTCTTGATTAGCGTCAACAGCCGAGTCGATATAGCTATGCCGGTCTGTCCGTATGAGATAGAGCTATAGAATTTGGCACGCATTCTATAATGCTCACGCAGTCCAAGTTTGTTTCGTGAATTGCGAATTTCTGTACTTTTTCTGTACTATTTCTATAGTTAATACAAATCTGAAAAACTCCTTGCTGAAAAGTAAAAATTTTGGTCTGACGAGTTCCAAAAAGTTATCTTTTTTTCCTGTCAAAAGTTCTGCCGGGATAAAAGGCAACCACGACAGGTTTGCCATAAATATTTATATATAGATTTGTTAAAAACAGTACTCATCGAATTTGGGGAATACTATTCAAAAAAGTTTATAAGAATGGCCGTCAGTTTGGACGTCTGGTTCTGGTCAGTTGAGTTTGAACCCCTCTGGTTCTGGATCGTTCGCGACTGATGTTTTACATTGGATTAGATATTATATAAACATAAATAATCAAAACATCGGGCTTTTTCTTTCAAGGGAATTTTAGAACATTATTTTGTAGTTACGGAAAACGCTCGGTAATTTAACATATACTTTAGGGTTGGAGATTTTACATTTGAGTTGCTCACATTTGACCAAATGGCTTAAAAACAAAACAGTCTGAAAAGGTTGCCCTCTAAATATTTTTGCTTTTAGCTCCTTCGACTGCAATGTGAAGTTATGTGGTAGTGACCATTTTATTCGGAACATAATACCCAATGTGTAGCGGTCCCTAAGAACCCGCCGGTGCCCCGCATAACAACAACAGCGGAGGCACTGACGGTGAACCGCCAACGGGAATGTGGCTTGATTCTGGAAGAATGGATTAATGGCACGAGAGAGTTCTGAAGGATTAACGGGCGCTCCAAATAGTATATATGGAGGCCCATTGTATCGAATCGAGAGTTGGAGTTGAGTTGGAGGCAGTAACAGCAGCAGCGAAAACAGCAACATTAGCGGCCATCGACGCACAGCGAGCAGACCCACCCAGCGCGTGTATTTAATCAGAGTGAGCCACGACCTGAACAGGTTCCCAGGCACCAAGGTAGCGGATCCTACCCGGCGTATGCCTAGACTCTATTATCTTTAGTATCGGGTATAAAAAAAACTCGTGCTCGCACCCTTGGGTATATTTTAAGAAAAATAAACGAAAATTCTTGTGCGAAATTTGATTTTCCAATAGACATAAATATTATAGACAGAAAAATGCTAAGTATTATATATTTTCTTTCCATGTACTTATATGAAACTATGCAGCTGTGCGCCAAGACAACAATAACTGCGTCTAAAAGCTTTTATTCTAATATAATGTGGCTAATTGGCGAAGAAGTTCCATTTAAAGAAAATACACGAATTTCGCGATGTTAAAATGAAGGTAAAATAAGAAAGAAAAGCTAACTTCGGGCGGAACCGAAGTTTATATACCCTTGCAGTTAAAACCTGATATGTATCGCAAACATCGGATAAAGTTGGCCGCTCCTTATGAGAATATCATAATAAAACCAATT